AAAACTCCCTGTGCATAAGAATGCATTAAATATGTGAGTTAACGGGTGTATAATGACGGGCGCACAAATCTTTAAGAAACAATCAGGAAATTCATCTAAACCGGCTGAATATTTATATTTTAGTCTACCTATTATTTTGCGAATTTCGTTGGAAGAAGTTTCGGAAACGAACATCGTTTCTAAACATTTTGGGGAAACGTCTGACGTTGAATTTTGTGGTTGAAGACCCTTGGTGAGATCGGCACAAATTCTCGAAAAGTATTGGTTAAAGAGATTAGCCACTGTTGCTGGATAGTTCACATTTCTATCATCTTTTCAAACAACATTCTCTACAAGGTTTCTAGTTGATTTTGTCGAATTTTTTTACTATATTCCACAACTCAAGGAATGAAGTTGAGAAACTGCTCTTTCTCGGAAGTTTCGACCAGAAAATCAATGTTAACATCTCGGCATACAACAATGGCTTTAAAAGAGCGATTGCTGACTTTGTTTAGTGTTACCTACAGTTTTTTAAAGAATATAATATAATCTATTGCTCTCTTTGTTGGAGGCCTGTAGATGCAAATTTAATTTTAAGCGTCGGAAGGTGTACTACAGATATTTCAAAAACATTTTCAACGGAATACACATTTAATTCCGTTAAGGAGATCGAATCGATATTATTTTTAACATGATGCACCGACAGACCGCCGGCCGGCCGGCCGGCCGGACGGACGGACGGACAGGCCGACGAACATATGGACGGATGGTCGGACAGAAAATCGGACGAACATAGATCGACAGAGACAGACCGACGTTTTGCGGACAATCTATTTTTCGGTGTCAAGGACCCACAAAATGATGCGTTTGCCTACACCACGTGTTAGAGGAAGTAATTTACTATACATCGCAACCACTTTTACGTTACGAGAGCCCGGCAATAAGAGTTTCTGCCGAAAATTCGCTGTTTTCTGGTGCACTATTAAACAACGTTCTCGTCTTGCAAAGTAAGTGTGATAACGAACTAATACAAAAGGTAGCTAGGTAGGAATGTACTCGGACGGCGCCATTCAGGAATTCACTTGCGTGGCGGCAGAGCCCTAGGCTGCGTGTAGTGACAAATCGCATGAAAACGTGCAGACCGTGTAAATACGATATTTGGCTTCTTATATTTCTAGTTTGGGATCTTGAAGTTTCTGTACGAGCTTCTGCACGAAAACTGTACCTTGGAAATCGGTCTTATGAATCTTTCAATAAAAATACTCTGAATATGGAAATATTACTCTTTAATGCATATTACAAGTAGATGCTTAGGTGAACGTGACCACCATGAGTTCTAAATATATATGTGCATTTCTAAGTACTTGCGGGATTTCTAGTGTTATAACCCAATATTTTCCAGCAAATGCTACGCCCTCATATTTAAAAAGCATAAAAAGTATTAAATGGGAAGAATTCGTTATTGGAGATTCCGAAACTTTTAGCTCCATTATACAGAATATTTCAGGGACACCATTGGAACACTTTGCAAGTAATGATACAGCCTTTGGTTATTTATTATAGACATTGTGTTTATGAGATGTTACAACAAATGTGTTTTTTGATAATTGCAGATTATTTTTCCGAAAGGGCTGGAGAGTACCCGCCTTTTTCACAGAACGCAATACCAACCTGTGCCGAACATTTCTGAAATAATTAAAATTCATTACATTGCCGACGGAGCTACAGGGCGATTATAATTTTATTAATTCCATGCATCCCAAGATCGCTTATGTGTTAAATGTTAACTGAATGGCATTTCTTCGCCACGCGACATGGAAGGCCCCTGGTGACGAAGTAGATGGAACAATTGAAGGACTACCCGGAACAAGGATGTAACCAACAAATTTGGCGAAAATGAGATGCAAGACGGATAGAATAATATTGATGCTCAACATCGTGGTGTACTCTTCTTACGGTAAGTGCAATAATTCCCTCTTATTATTGGTTATTTATCACATTCCGTGGAAAAATGAACATAAGTCAAGATGGCCAACTTTGCCGGTGAATGATTACCTGTTGGCGCGCTAAAACACATATATGGATGCCACAGACGTAAAATAAATACAGGTACCAGGACGGACGTGAAAAGAAAATTCCTCTCAAAACACGGTGAAGAAAATACCACGAGAAAAGGCTCTATCAAACGTGCAAAACAGCCTTCTATCGTGGTACGCGGAATAACGGAGTAACATAGCTAACCAAAATGTGAGTAGCGAAAAGAGGGAATATCACTTTACTAATACTTGATAATTTAATTTTTAGTGCACTACTTGTAACTAGCTAAATGTGGTGTCGTCGTAGCTTTAAACAGCTTTAAAATATTTATTTATCTGTTGAATGTTTCTACTACGCAAGTTCCAAATAACGAACTGTAAGCATACGTTGTGTGGTTCTATTATCCTCGGGCGAAATAAGTAAAACTTAATCCATTACGAATTAAAATTAAAAAAAATTGGAAAACACAAAAATTGTGTCGTCGCAACTCTCCTTGTCGATTGTTCTTTCGGCAACGGCCACTACACCCCCGGAATACGGTGTTGGAGAACCTAATTCGAACGCTCCCAGAAAAGGAGTTCTGAAGAGAACATTCTTTCAGTGTATTATCAAGCGGATTACATCACTCAACAAAAAACTTTCTACATTTGCCCTGGATTTTGCAACGGAATTACAGTATATTGGGTATGCTGAATCCAAATATATCATTAGTTTCATTGAATTGGCTCTAGTTCTGCAAACGTTGTAAAGAATGATTCTATCACAAAACTTTCAGCATTTATCCCAAATATGTATCTTTAAAACTGAAAAACAATGTTGTTTATATAAACATTGAAAATTGCATTATTTTCAGGAAACTTTGATTGAGTTTGGTCTTATTAATACATCTTTTTTTGTTACAAAACAATTAGTTCTTCAAGAAAATGTGGTTTGAACATCCCTAATGAATTTTGCTATATTTGTGGAGAATATATGCAACAAAAACAGATAGTAAATGTTACAAACATTATAGAAAAAACATATGAAGCATATTTTGGTATAAAACTGGGTGATCAAGATATGGCATGGACTCTCCATAAGGTATGCAACATTTGTGTGGATTCTCCCTCAGTGCAAAACTAAAAAACTGAAAGAGTTTAAAATTTGGTGTACTGATGGTACGGCAAGAGTCTAAAAATCATGATATTATTAGTTTTGTGCTGCAAACTTCAAAGGGTTCAATTGTTACAAGAAAAAGAACAGGGAATAACCTGATTTAGAATCGGTGAGGTAACCTGTGCCACAGCGGTGAACCTGACGTCCCCTTACCATTGTTCACCACAGATTCTGGGGTGGAATTCAGGAGTTAGCAGTGGCAGTAAATACGATGCAAGTGTTGTTACAAAAGAGCAATTCTCCCAACAAGAGCTCAGTTATTTAATATGTTACTTCAGTTTGCCAAATCAAGTAACTGAACTTTTAGCATCCATATTAAGAGAAAAGAAATGTCAGAAACCGGAAGTAAAAATAACATTTTACAGGACAAGAGACGCAAAATATCTGCCACATTTCAGTGAAAATGGAGACTTTGTATACTGTTCTAACATTCCTAGACTACTTATTTATATGGGTATTTCAGAATATCACCCCGAATACTGGTGGCTTTTCATAAACAGTTGCACTGGAAGTTTAAAGTGTGTTTTACTGCACAATGACAACTGCTATATATCAATCCCAATTGGCCACTCAACAAAAATTAAAGAAGAATATTATATCAAATGGTCTTACAAAACTTTTGTCAAGGAAAAGTATCACAAAAGGTGCAGCAAATTTCGTGAACAATCATTACTCGTCCCAACCACAAAGTTGGGATTAATGAAGCAATTTGTGAGAGCGCTAAACAAGGATGGCGATTGCTTTAATTAGCAGATCCCTGCACTGGGTACGAAAAAATTAAAAGCTGGCATATTTGATGGACTACGAATTTTTAAATTAATAAATGATCCAAATTTTGCAAGTTCCATGACTGATACTGAATCTTCTGCCCAGCACAGCTTTGTCATTGTTGTCAAGAACTTTTTGGGTAATCATAAAGCAGCAAATCATGCAGAACTGGTCAAGACTTGCTTCTAAACTTTCAAAATTTGGAAGCAACTATGTGCATTAAGGTACACTCTCTCCCTAGCGATCTAGACAAATTTCCAGAAAATCTTTGCAATATGAGTGAGGAACAAGGAAGGCTGTTCCATCAAGAAATAAAAGTGATGGAATATAGATATCAAGGCAGATGTGATAGACCTAATGCCAGACAACTGCTGGAGCCTTCCAATGTGATTGTTCTCAATAGCTGCATAAAAGGAAATCATACAATGTTTTTCAAATAATTAATTGTGATTTGTTTTGGGCAGTAAATAGAAATATACGGAATATATTAATATTACACATTTGAAGTGTTTGTGTATAAATAGGCATATCTAGTTCAATTTAGTTCAAGTTTTATGCAATTTACAATTAGCCTGGACTCAATAAAAAAGAATAATATTTTTTCGATGTGATTTTCATTATCTCAAAAACTAGAGCCAATCTACCAAAACCAATGCCACATTTGGAATTCGTGCAGCAAACATATCCAAAAATGGCTTTAACTGGTTTGGCAAGAAAATGTGTGTTCACTGTTATTAAAGAAAATTTGTACATTTTGCAAGCTCCAATTCCAGAAAATACTGTTCTATTCTTCTAAATTGATATTATAATATAATTTTGAAGATGAAATTATTCTACAAAAGGGGATTACCCCATTAGCCCTATCATATATGCTATACATAAAATTATCTTATAAAACAAAAATTAAGAATTTGGGATGGCATCACTGACAAACTTTGTCCTTATTAGTTGGTAAAGTAATTTTGTCATTTCCATTTAACAAATAGCACCAAAATATGCATATGCATGCAAATCCAAACTGTACTTACAAACATATGTCAATTCTGAAATGTATTACTCACTAAAACAAGACATGAATCCACGAGGCAAAATGTGCCAGATCGCCCAATCCCAGCGGAACAATGAACGACTGGAGGCCCAACATTAGGACTGAGGACACCACTGCGGCGAACCACCATCAGGAACTCCAGAAAAGCAGTTGGACTTTGTGGCACTCCAAAATCTGGCCATGTTGTATAATGGAAATGAAGAATGTCCCGACTATTTCCAGATTCAATCTCAGTCAATCTGTTGGGCAAAAGAAATAAGTTTTAATACACACAAGTAAAGTCATCTAATTATATTGTCAAGTTCATGGAAAAAGTACACAATTTAAAGATCTCCTTTTAGTTGGAGACAATCAATTACTCTTTAAGCACGATATTTTAATATTCGAACAATAATGTTGGGTCACGGCATTTCGTGAATTAGTTATAACAAGTACATCAAGTACAACAGCTGCAACATATTTTGTAAAATAATGCAAATTTATACTTGGACAATCAATGTAAATCGTACTGCAAGAAACATTATAAGGTGAAAGATGTCCAATTTTCAAATTAATGTTTGAAATTTGTGTGTGGAAAATATTGCAATTGTTATAATTTAAAATGTAATAATTAACTAGTAGTGCTACAGAAGGGCACAGACGTTCTCGTATTAGTTTTTTTAGGGAGGGGGGGGGGGGG